CGATAGTACCCACGGCTTGACGACGAGTATTATCGTAAGCTCGAATCCCTTGAGTGGAGGGAGTCAACTCTTCGTTCTTTATACCTAACTTCCTTGCAGTACGGAGTGGGCTCACATTGATTGCAGAGCCATTATCAACCAGTCTCATAGGAACATTCATCTGCCTCACACTACAATGAGGTGTAAGGCCTTATTATGTTGGTCCCCTTCCGGGGGTAGATCCTTATCAGAAAAGGAGATCAGATTGCTGGTACTCGGCAGCTTAGTAGTGAGAAAGTTGACCAATCCTTGAGGAGTCATGTCGTCATCAACTCCTATCTTCACCAAAGCATTCATTACAGCCTTTCGATGCTCGTGGGAAGTGGCTAAAAGCTTCCATACATTCATCTCCACCTTGGTCTTTTGCAGCTGTTTGACGACATCGTTATTCACAGGGTCGACGGGATCAACTATCGGATTTGATTGTGGTGGAGGTGGAGGTGGGTAAGGTTGTTGCAACCGTCCACTTCTGGTGAGAACCTTGACCTCAAGGTCCCCCCAAACATCTTCACTGGTGCCGAGAGATGAACAGGCTATGTCTTTGAGATAGACGTCTTCATCATCACTATCCAAATCCCATTCACTTCTTCAGTGTTTGAGATAAATACAACTTCCGGCAGAGGTTTATTCACAAGTTGAATGAGTATTGACGGATCAAAGGAGACTTCATCTCCCATGATAGCCAAAGCATCAAAAAGAGGACCTGTTTGAATGTTAGGCTTCTTGCCCCCTGGAGGGACAGGAAGTTGGTTAGCATCAATCAGGTCTTGGATTGCGTCTTTCAGCCTCCAACACTTCTCAGTGTTATGACCCTTTCCTTGATGATACTTGCAATAAGCATTGGGGTCATAGTTAGCGGTCCTATTCTCAGGTCGAGGTTCTGGAAATGGTCCGATTGGCATAATCAGTCCCTGACCATGAAGACGGTCATAAGCAGCATCATAAGTAATTCCCAAAGGCGTATAAACCCTCCTTTGCCTTTGTAATCTTTGAGGAGGAGCATTAAGGGCCAGCACATCATTGATGTTGATATTTTTGGTAGCATTATTGGGCTTAGAAGACGAAGAAGAAGGAGTGTCGTTCTTCTTGTTTTTCCAAGTGCTGTTGTTATTGTTGCTACCAACAGACTTCATCAGTTCGTCTTCGATATTGATTCCAATATCGTATACAGCATCAAAGGTACTTAGAGGCAGAAACTTCAGGTGTTGCTTGTATTTATGCGTCAGATTGGCTATGAACAAGTGAACCATCTCCTTCTCCTTGGGAGGATCCACCAAGAGCGTAGCTGTTTCTCTCCACCTGCTTAGGTAAGTGGTGAAGCCTTCATTCTCTTTCTGTTTGAGAATGGAGAGTTCACGTTCAGAAGTCTTGGCCTAGATGTTACACTTGTACCGATTCATAAAGCTTTCAGTAACATCCTCCCAGGTCGCGACATGCTTGGATTCCAGAGAATAGAACCACTGTTGACAGGCATGTTCTAAGGAAAGAGGAAACACCATAGGTAAGAGTGTCACATTTACTCCCTTAAGAGCCATAGTTGCAGAAAAAGCCTTCAAATGGAAAAGTGGATTATCAGTAGGCTTGAACTTGGGAATATCAGCAGTGGAAAACTTCTCAGGAACCTTCTCTCTTATAGACGAGGAGGTGATAGGCTGTTCCACATAAGTGAACTCTTCAGAAATCTTGCTCATTTGTTCCTTGATCTTGTCCATTGCAGCAGTAGTGACACTGTTTTGCTTGTCTTGCTCTACAGTGCTGACTCTAGTAGTGAGTATCTGCATCATGTCAGACAATCTTTCGATTGTCCTGTTGAGGTTCTCGATATCTTCCTTAGTGGCCATTGGTTGAAAGTAGACTGGAGACGGATCTTGTGGAGATGACTGAGGTGGTTTCCTTGTACGCCTCTTTGGTATATGAGGTTGTTGAGGTATGGACTCAAACCGTAACAATCTACCCTTGCTTCTTACCCAAGTGCTGTGACACCGAAACAAACACACCTTTAATGACCAAACTTGACCTTAACCTATCCGGATTAAAAAAAGAATTATTTTTTTTTGAAGCTCTACTTATTAAAAAAAAAAGAAAACATGGGAGGATACCATCCGACTTACTCCGAAAAAAACGACATAAAAAACAAAGCTTCCCTAAAATACGGTCAAAAGTGGTGCATGACTAAAAAAAAGTGTGTGGACATAATATGTGAGTAATTAGGTGAGGTTATAGACGCGTGTTTTGACCGTATATCTAGACACGACTCAATACTGGACACAAAATTCGAGAAAAAAGACTGACGGGACACTTTCCTGGGCACCGTGTCACGGTGCAGACTGGCGTGACACGGTTAAGCCTACCGTCAGACGGTAGCCTTTACCGTGTCACGGCACTGTTCACCGTGACACGGCAGAAAAGGCCGTGACACGGTGCGCAGTTCCAGGTCAGTTTTGTGATTTTTTTTTCAGATTTTAATCGATTTTAAGTCCGTACTAATTACTATGTGAGAATAAAAAACCCCCGGTCATGGGTCAAACAAAAAGAGCAAACACATTAGGGTTAGCACCGCACAAACACATAGCATTTAGGCACGATGATGTAAAAAAAAAGTTCGCAACCTAAAGTCAAGATCTATGTTCAACTATTGATCAAGCTTTGGGTGTCAAAAGGGTACCATGGTTAAGAGTTTGGACGCGTTAGCAAGGAAGCCTCCCTTGAGGGTGTATGCCAACGGGCGGCTCCGCGAGTTCGTGATGAAATCGAATTCGACTCCATGGCTTGGGTGGATTTAATGACTCGGATGAACCCTTATTGCCATGAGCGTTTTTGGGTTGATAGAGCTTAAATCCCCCGGGGCTAAGACGCATGTAGAACACATACGTTTTTTCAGAAAAATCGAAGGAAGTCGACTGTGAGAAAAGAAAATAGGCCACCGGACTGATTTTAGGACTGCCGTGACACAGCAGAAATTCCCATGTCACGATACAGTGTACCATCAGACGGTACACTGTACCGTGACACGGCAGACTCTGCCGTGACACGGCAGTCAGAAAATCTGACTGGTGCCCTGTTTGCTTTTGCGCGCAACTGAGTTATCCAATTTTTTCCTACGGGACAGACCTGAATGCGACGTTAAAACGTCTATGCAGATGCAAAAAAATGCCAAATTAATCACAGGAATATTTTTTCAAGAATCTTTCAAGTCTCATCCACTCATCTTAATTAAATACCGATCACTCAAATCGATAAATAATTAAGAATCCTCCCCAGTGGAGTCGCCAAATTGTAGGCGTCGTTCGAAGTGCGCCTACGTTAAAGCATGTTGTGAATATGCTTGGCACTCATAGGAAGTGGGAATTGACATTACGATTAGGGACAAGTAAAGTAGGGAGCCGCCAACAAGTTTTTTAGGAACTTGTAAACCGTTCACGGATCATAAAAGGCAACCACGATAAGGGACAACGATAGGCAACAACGATTGACCCGTGAAGGTTACACCCCATTCATAATCCATGAGATTATTAACTCCATATGGTTCGGAACCACGAAAGGAGGATCGGGGATGATGGTACGAAGTGAGTCATGGAATCACATTCACCCGTATTGGCCTCTACTCGATTCTTATAGTGAAAAACATTCCTGTGATCTCAAAGGCATACAAACAATAATTCAATTCGCTCCAAACTATTATTTAACTAAATTGGTTTAAAATTAATGCACACATAATTCTAAAAATTTGGTGATCACTTGAATTAACAATAAGATTAAAAGGAAACCTAAATCGGTTGTCCAAATTATCTTATTAATCGTGATTTTCAATTACATATTCCCCTTAAACATGCAATATGGTGATCAAAATAAATAATAGAATCAATATAAATATAAAAACCAATTTAATCATAATTCCAACAACATAAAAATCGTTAGAAAAATAACAATAGTAAAAAGAGCATGATCCTTACTTTGAATCTGTTTGTTTGCAACTATAAAATAATAAACGAGTTAGTAACTTTAAGGAAATAATAAAAACAATAATTAAATTAAATTAAATTAAATAAGGTTGATTTTGGGGCCAAACCCTCAAACGATTCTACCTTTCACGCCTTGGCTTAAGGACAGAACCTCGAGTAAAATATGGACTCCTTTGAGTGCTTGAAGAAGGAATTTTTGAAGTGAAAAGGGTAGGCTAGTGTTTAGGTTAAGAGCATAGAAGAGAGAAAAATAAGAATCATCGAATTCTGGTTGCCCCGTACATCAGAAATGAGGGGGTATTTATAGGGAAATGTGCTAAGGGAGCACACGGAACCCTAAAATGATAAAAACCCTAAAAAAGTATCCCGTGACACGGACATAATGTACCGTGACACGGTCAGACTGTACCGTCAGACGGTACACTTTCCCGTGACACGGTCAATTTTGGAGTGACGCGGGAAATTTTCAGAAAACGGAATGAAAAACGCGTTGAGGGTTTACGCGGAAAGGACACGGAACATCCCGTGTCACGGCAGACCTCCCGTGTCACGGGAAGTCCCACCGTCTGACGGGAAGGGTTCCCGTGACACGGTCAGGCTGTACCGTGACACGGTCAGTTCCAGTCCATTTTTCCGTCTAAATTCATTTTAACCCTAATTTCTTTCGGCTTTTTAAGTGTCGATTCATAATTTCGTGCTTTTTTCTGACTTTTATTATTCGGGCTAAAATAAGAAAATAATGAAATAAAAATAAATAAAATATTTGGGCCAAAAATAAATAATAAAATAAAAAGGTTTGGGCTTAAAATTAATTAACAAGCTTGGGCTAAAATTAAAACTATGCTTTTACTAAACATCAAGACTAATCCATGGACCTATCAAAGGTGTGAATTTAATAAAATACGATTTTTCAAGCACTCTCGGGATTAAATACTAAACCCGACCAACAGTGGCGGTGAAATGTTATTTATCATCGGGTTTGGTTTTGGGGAGACATTTTTAGGTGTCTACAACTTGACACCAAACAACAGAAGAAAAAGAGAAACAAGAGAATAAAATTTCATCTAAAAGAGCATCCAGGTCAGTGAAGTAGATCGTTGCTTTGGTTAAGCGCTTAATGATGACTTCGCTATCGGACTCTATGATAACCTCTGGTAAACCAAACCGTTTTGCAAGTTTAACGGCTAATGCGATCGCTTTCCCTTCAGCAACGATTGGAGGCCAGTAAGCTCTCACTCTTCTGGTCGCGGCAAAGAGTACTTCCCCCTTCCAATCTCTAGCAATCACCCCCATTCCAATCCAACCCTCCTCATGTAAAGAAGCGTCACAATTGAGTTTTATGATACCTTCAGGTGGCGCTTTCCACTTCTTGGGGCTGCGACATGGGTTGCGTTTGACACCCCCATAAATCTTCTTCAAGTAGGAGTTACAATCCGATGCAAGTCTGTGAGTACGCTCGATGATCACCGGATGATAAATTTCTTTGCCCTTGAAGATCATCTCATTTCGCCTATGCCATATGTTCCACATTAATATCGCACCTATACTCACCTTTTGTGCATCCAACTTACTCCATGATTCAATTAAATTTAAGAAAGACATACCGGTAGGCCAAATTGACATTTCAACACAATCACATTCCACCCAAAGCGCACGAATAGTGTGGCAATCGAACAAAGCGTGCTGGGTGGTTTCTGGGCAGTTCACGCACCATGGGCAGTCTACAACATCACTCATATGTCTGTAATTGAGGTAAGCTCTCACCGGAAAAGTTCCTGTGCAAATTCGCCACAGAAAATGGCGTACCTTTGGAGTAACCCCAAGCCCCCAAATTTCCACCCAAGCCTTGTGAAAGAGGTCAAGATTACATGATTTGCCGATCAAATAAGCCGTCTTAACCGAGTAGCTGCCATCCATCGAGAAAGCCCACATCAAGGAGTCCTGAGTCGCATTCGAACCTAAGGGTATTGCTAGAATGCTACGGGTGTCCTCCTCATTGAAAATATTTTCAATGCTAGGAATATCCCATTGTGGAGTCTCGTGATTGATCAGATCACTAACACGATTCACATCATCAGAGCAAGGAGAAGTAATAAATCTGGAAGTGCCATTGTCAACCCAAGGGTCGCGCCATATGTCCACCGAAGCTCCATTTCCTATCCTTCATAACAATCCCTCCTTTAGAAGGGCCTTTGAAGACCATATGCTATGCCAAGAGAAGCTACCACCGTATCCCAGACTAGCATCAAGAAAGCTCTTTCCCGCATAATATTTAGCACTCAAAACCTTATTAAGAAGAGAATTCGGACAACTAACGAGCCTCCAAGCTTGTCGACCCAATAGAGCGTCGTTAAAAACCTTCAAATCATGAAATCCCATTCCCCCAAGGCATTTAGGGGAACAAAGATCCTTCCAACTCTTCCAGTGAACTCTCTTTTTATCCTTCTCTTGACCCCACCAGAAACGAGCCACCATAGAGTGAATATCATCAATAATCCCTGCTGGAATTTTATACACCCCCATGATATAGGTGGGAATAGCTTGAATGACTGCTTTCAATAAAATCTCCTTTCCCGCTCTTGATAAAAATTTCTCCTTCCAACCAGAAAGTTTCTTCCATATACGATCCTTCAAAGGCTCAAATACCCTCTTCTTCGATTTTCCAATAATGGTCGGGATCCCCAAATACTTGTCATGTTTGTCTACCCGTCTCATTGCCAAGATGCTCAATAATTCTTCCTGCCTTGCAACATCAACTCCCGTACTAAAAGAGACCTCCGATTTTTCATAGTTAATTTTCTGGCCGGAAGCTTGTTCATATATGTTGAGAATTTCAACAATTTTTAAACACTCCCTTCGGTTGGCTCTTGCAAAGAGCAGACTGCCATCAGCAAATAGGAGATGAGAAATTTCCGGACCACTACGGCTAGCCTTGGCCCCATGAATAGAACCCTCGGTCGAAGCTTTCCGCAATAATCCAGAAAAAGCATCAGCAACAAGAATAAATAAATACGGGGATAAAGGATCTCCTTGGCGGAGGCCTCTAGTGGGAGTCACTGCACCAAAAACATCACCATTGACTATAAAAGAATATTTGACAGTAGTCACACAGTCCATAATAGTCCTTACCCATCCATCAGCAAAACCCATTTTCATAAGCAATTTTTTAAGAAAATTCCATTCCACCCTGTCATAAGCCTTACTCATATCAAGTTTCATAGAAATCACCCTTTTTTTTCCTTTACACCGAGTCTTCATTGTGTGAAACAACTCCAGTGCAATAAGAGCATTGTCAGTAATAAGTCTTCCCGGAACAAAAGCACTTTGATTATTCAAAACAATACCAAGAAGGACAGATTTAATCCTCATGACAATGGCTTTAGAAGCTATTTTATACATCACATTACAGAGGGCAATGGGTCGAAACTCAGACATAAGAGTAGGGGACTTCACTTTCGGGATTAAAACAATATAGTATTATTCACAGGGCTAATAGATTGCACACCCTGTAAAATTCTACTAACATATCTATACACATCATCACCAACAATATGCCAAAATTTTTGAAAAAATATAGCATGCATACCGTCGGGTCCCGGGGCTTTGCAGGGATGCATTTGGTTCAGAGCTGCAAATATTTCTTCTTTCGAGAACGGGTGCAAGAGCTCAGAATTGACATCCAGGGTTATTACACTCTCCACCGATTCCAACACTGTTTCACAGGCATTCTCTGAAGGTAAACTGGCCGTGAAAAGCTTCTAATAAAAGCTCTGAACGATCTTTTCTAGGTCCTCATCATCATCTTTCCACGTTCCATCGTCATCAAAATGACCCTTGATTTCATTTTTCGACTTTCTTTGTGACGCTTTGTGATGGAAATAGGAGGTGTTCCTATCTTCATCTTTGATTTCTGAAGCCCTCGACCTCAAATACCAATAAGCCTCCTGCTTATCTGATAAATTGTTATTTGGTATGATTTTAGGGAACTTTTGAACCTTGTTTTCGTGATTATTCGACATCAAAGTTCATTATTTATCCTATTTTTATACAAATTTTGTACCATATATGCTTCACGGGTTGTTTGTGTTTTTGATGTAATGTAGCTATTTTTAGCACTATATATGGACGTGATCAAGCGTGAGTGAACAAGGAGAAGGGAAAGCTTGGTTGATAGAGAAATTAAGGAAGATGGATGAGTGCCTTAAAGAGAAATGAAAAGCTTTTGGAAAGTTTTGGAAGGATTTTTGCACTAAGGTCAACTTCAACTGACCATAAATTTTGTTCCACTCAACATTTTGAAGTGATTCGATTCGGATATTAAAGTTCATCTCAAGAGCTTTCAAACGATTGGTCACATGCCTTATTCCGATGAGTAACGAAGAAGTTATGACCTTCCGAAAATAAGTTGTTTCGCCAGAAAAGAGTTGCACGTCCGTGCCAATAAGTGGCACGTCCGTGCAAGTCCTTGCACGTCCGTGCAAGGTCAGGAAGTAGCTACTGGTTGTATTGTAACAGGTCTGCACGTCCGTGCAACCTTTGGCACGTCCGTGCCGACCTGTAGACGGGTCGTTTCCTCGTGTTCTCCGTCCTTTTACTTGGGGGTTATATAATACCTCTTTGGCTTCATTTGTAAGGGAGGATCTTCTTAGTGTAGTTTTAGCTTAGGTTAGGTTTTTAGAGAGAGAAACTCTCAATTTATAGAGAGAGAAAGTGGGAAAAACTTGTTGAAAGCTTGGAATATGAAGAATTGAAGGAAGGAGACTTGAAGATTTGATTATTTCTTGCATTATCAATGAGAATTTCTTACTCTCTCTCTTATTTTATTGCTTTAATTGCTTATTTTTGTATCTTTTCTTGTTTTATTACTTGTTTATGTTAAATTAGTGTTTGATTTCATGTTCTTAGTTGTTAGTTATTTGTTTAGCTTTGCAATTTATTATGATTTGTGAGTAGTTCTTTTACTTGGGACGGTTAAAACCATTGATGAATTCACAAATACTTGTTTGCATGTGTTGATTTAGCTAATGTGGGATGTTAATTAGTTGAACTTAAGTAGTTTCATTGTTAGTTCTTGTAAATGGCCATTGCTAGAACTATTTATCTAAGCTTTCTCAACGAAGGATCGAGAGATGAACTTGAGTTAGCTCCCTTATGCTTAATTGACTTGAAATGCCATGAGAATAGGAATTTCCAGTCAAGGGAATGTTTATGTCATCGTGATTATGCTTTAACACTTGTTTTATGCTTTGTAACCACGAGAGTAGGTTGTATTCATAACTCAAGTAATCCCTCTAGCTTGAGAGAGTAGTTGGGTGCCTTAGATGACTTCCCCTAATTAGTCCCCAAATTTCTATGTTTTGAATGTTAAATTGTAGTTTGTGAATGACTTAATTGGTGGATACCTTCCCAAGATCCTTTTTATTATTGTTTGTAGTTTTTCTTTATAACTCAAAATCCAAAAATACTTGACTTAGCTTATCACAAATTGATACTTGTTAATGCTCCCCTTAGTCCTTGTGGGATCGACCCTTACTTGCCCTTTCTACCTATTAGAGAGACCAAGTTAGGTTTTTATCTTTGGTAGGCTCGAAAACGGCCTATCATTATCCAACACATCATCAAGGTCCTTCTCTAACTTCGAGCACCTAGCTAACGACTCATCCGTCACCGGTTCATTTTGAGCCCCTGTCAAAGCCTTCTCCAGATCGCCAATCTGTTGCTCAAGCTTATATAAATTGCTCCTGCTCCATAATTGAAGGTCCCCTACTACAAATTTGATTCGGTCTTCCAGATTCACCAGGTTACCTTCCCAAGCATTGCGCACTACTTTCTCACAGTCGTATCTAGCAGCCAGCAGGTCTCAAACCTGAACTTTTTCTTTTTTTTCCTCTTTTTCTTTCTGTGCGCACCAAATTTCAAGAAGATTGGTGCATGGTCAGATTTCCTTCTCGCCAGATTTTCTTCCCTCGGGCTGGGAACAATATCGAGCCACTTTCCATTAGCAACAAATCTATCAAGTCTTTCCCGTATTAGAGTTCGAATCAACATCCCATACTCCCAAGTAAACCACTGCCCCTCAAAACCCAGATCGTGTAGGTCACAATCTTGTAGTACATTTCGGAAATCAACCATCTCACATCTTACATTGTCAGCTCCCCCCTCATTCTCCCCATAATCGAGAATTTCATTAAAATCGCCTCCCAAGAGCAGAGGTCCATCATAAGAGTCACATAAATTCCTGATTAGCAACCACGTTTTGTTTTTGTTGCCGGACTCAGGCCATCCATAGATGCCTATGAATCGCCAACGTAAGCCCGTACTATTTTTAACATCTCCACAAATGTGATTTTGGGAGTAGGAGATAAGGGAAAATTCAATGCTATCCTTCCAAAACAAACATAAACCACCAGAGTTTCCGATACTACTAACAGCAAAAGCGTACGAAAAACCGAATCTACTTTTATTATTCTCAGCAATAGTTTTATTTATTTTAGTTTCAGACAAAAACACAATTTCAGGAGCTAAAGATGTGCACCACTTACGTAGTGCTCTAACCGCTCGAGGGCTAGCAAACCCCCGACAGTTCCAGCATAAGGTACTCATTGCAATTGGCGGGGTTGAGCCATGTCAACCTCCGCCTTTCTAGTGGTAAGGATATTCACCCCAGGGCTCGACTTGTTGCGTTTCCCAAATGGTGTCTCATCCGTTTCCACTAAACCAGAATTGTCATATTGTTTCCTCTTGCCCGCTAGAGCTGTGTGATCTGACATGGAGCTATCAATGTCCCTGTCGAGACGCTTCCAAGTCTTCTTATTAGGCTCGTGCATCCCTTCTTCTGTTGCCTTCTCACTGCCACCATACTGACGAGTTGAGCAGCCTTGATTGCCATGGGGGGTAGGCTTAGAAGATGGAGCTAA